GGGGGGGGGGAGGGGCGTCATCCATAGCTCAGCACGTCACAATACATTTGTTTACAAGAAATACGGAGGTACATAATATTGGTAACAGACAGAATGTTAACCTATTTCCTCCGAGTACTTCACTTACTAAAGTTCAGAAGGGTGCATATTATTCGGGTATAAAAATCTACAATCATCTGCCTAAAGAGCTCAAACAATTATCCAATAACCAGAAATCCTTTGAACGTTCCCTAAAAAGATTTTTACATGCTAACTCTTTTTATGAATTAAATGAGTATTTTAATTACAAATGTACATAAATTTTAATGTTTTAATGCTGTATTTTAATATAGTTGGTATAGGAGATATGAGAAGTTATATTAATTCAAGTTATATTGTAGTTACTTTTAAATTATGTCTGTTAATCAAGATATTATCTTTTTACCTCATATTATTGTATATGTTAATTGACTGATGTGGTTCATCTTCATTATTGACTTATGTGACTTTGTGTATGTATTTGATATGACTATTTCCACATCCTGGGTCTGTCACCTGTATGGATATTTATGGAAAATAAAGGATATGTATGTATGTATTGAGTTGGGAAAATATCCTTTTCATAGAAGCTAAAATAATGAAGTCACATGGAAAATAAGTTATCTCACATTGAGATGGGCTTGGAATGTGAAGACTTTCTGTGGAAATTTCTGAAGTTACATAGTTGCAGTAGTGCATATTAATTTATTTGGTATATATTATGTATTTTTTATGGAATTTATAAATTTCCTCTACAGAACTAGGATAGCTCAGTGATGGGCTATGGACTGGATGGCGAAGGTATTGGGGTTTGATTCCTAGCAAGGGAAAGAGATACATCTCCTCTTCACAGGTCCAGACCAGCTCTGGGAACCACCCAACCTTCTAACCAGTTGGTAGTGTGGCTCTTTACTGAGCGGTAAAGTGGCTGGGACATGAAGCTGACTACTCACCTCTATCTACTGCTAAGGTTGAATACATGAACCTGTACCCCCACTTCACCATATGTTTTTATGGTATGGTGCTTAACTGATTAAGCACAGGGAAACTTTACCTTTACCATTTCAAATTTTTTTCTGTGCACTAATGAAATTCTTCTTCTCTGTGCTCACAGATGTATGATGGCATGTGCAGTGATTCTGGTTATTGCAGGCACTGCTCTGGACTATTCCTATAGTGGCTCATCACCAGGTATCTCTAAACCAGTGATTCCCAGACTTTATCACTTCACAGGTTATTTCTTAAGAAATAAGAATATGCAAATACCCATCTGAAGTTTTATAGTAGTGTTTCTACTTTAAGATTCCACCTGCACTGATCATCCCTGCTTAGAAAATCTGTATATGGTATTTCATAAACGATTTATTCCTGAAAGGAAAGGTAGCTTCTGTAAGTATACATTATAAAAATGCTGATGAAACAAGTCACCGAAAAGTAACCAACTCCATAAGCAGAGTCCTTCTTGAGAAGCTAATATTCACCCTTTTACTGCAGAAATGCCCTGTCTTTCATTTAAATTAAAGGTTCACTATCACCTTCATAAGAGCCCAACAAGAATCCCTGTGCTAAGCCAAATGAATTTAGTTCTTACCTTTCTACCCCATTTCCCAAAAATTCATTTTAATATTTTTCCACATATGCCTTTGATTTTTCCCTGTAGGTTTTTTGATCAGAACCCTGTAAGCATTTCTTTATTTGTCCTATGTGTGCTACATGCCCTCCCCAACTCATCTTCCTTAAATTCACATGCAAATCATATTTGGTGAAGAGTACATATTATTAACCTCTTAACTATGTAATTTTCTCTTCCATCCTGTTACTTCTTTCTTAAATGCCAATATTCTCCTTTGCACCATGTTCTGCCTTTCTTATATCACATGCATGGCCCACTCTTCTACCATGACTGTGAAACTAGCAAGGTTCACCAGAACATTGATACCGCATGGCATCACATGCCAGAAGACTGTAATCGTAGCTCTCAGTTTTTGTTCTTCCCATAATTTGAGAGACTGGATTCCACAACTGTATAAAAGAAGAGTTAAAATTATACTTATCAAAGTGTAACATTTTAATAAAAGAATAGCAAGTACACCAAACAGGTTGGTGTAGAGGTAATGCTCTTCACCTGAATTTGGGAGGTGCTTGATTCAAATCTCAGCCAACTATCCTGACCAAAGCTTATATGGTTGTCCTCAAGTCTCACCAGACAAATTCTGTGATGGTACCTTAATTAGGTCTAGGCCACTTCCATCCAAGTCCTTCCAATTCATCTATCATCCTGTTATCCAACACTGTATAGTCTCAGTACTGCAGAAACTGCAGAAGCCCATGGGGAACAAAATAACAAATAGATGAGACCCACCTAAATAAATGTTTGTTATGCATTTGGCCATACACAGTAAAATCTGTACTTTATTTTCTGGTAGACATTTGGAATGTTTCACACAACTCCAAGGGATTCTGTAACTGTGATTTGGAAACTCCTGTTTAGGTACATTTAGTGAAGCACTCTTTGTATGCACATTTTAATAACTGGCTGATTAAGACTACAATCTTCTGGAATGTGATACCATGTAGTTTTGGGAGTGCTGGAGGAACTTGCTGCTGATATATTCAGGTTGCAGGGTCCCCTGAAACATAGGTTTTTATCTACAAAACTACACAGTATTTTGTCCCAGGTGAAGATTATTTTAATGTTCTTTATCATGAAAACCTTTAACCTGACGGAATAAGTTTCTGGCAGATTCGCTGTCATTGCAGATTATGATTCCTCTCAGGGATGATCTCATACCTTCATTTAATTAAACAGTTGTGCAGATACAGAAAAATATAAGCCAGTGGATTAGGCAAAATACGTTAATTAAATTAGTTAGCAAAGAATAGCTTCTCTTAAGGGTTTGCAGTAATGACAGTTTTGAAACTTCTTTTTATGAATGAAGTAACTCAGTCAGTATATTGGTAGGCTACAGGCTGAATCACCAGAGAATCAGGACTTGATTTTCTGTGGGAGCAGAGATTTTTCTCTTTGCCACCATAGCCAGATCAGCCTGGATCTCATGCAGCCTCATGTCCAGTGGGTACCAAAGTCTCTGTTCTTGGAGCTTGAAAATAACCACTCACCCCAGTTTAGTACCAAAGGTTAAGAAAGATAAAGCTGTGTCTCCACTCTCCCATACATCTCCATGGCATGATGCTGAGTTAATTAATTAAGCCTAAGTCAAATTTATCTTTAGATTTATCTCTTGTTTTGCAGAAGTTAATAAGTAACTGTGTAATGAAGCCTAATTACCCTCTACACCAGTGTATATTTGTGTTTACGTGTATTTACAGGAACACTGGGTTTGGATCTACTATTCTGTTTCTCAATAAGGCAGAACATGGCATATCTGAATCAAGATTTATCTAATCGTGTTGACATTCTAAGGAGTATGAGGTTTATGTGTACATGTATCGTCGTCTTGTATCACAGAGCAGCAAACCTTGGGGCCTCACCTCTGTGGAATCTTGAATTTCTTGAAAAAGTGAGTGAGTCTGTGAAGAGGCATTATGGGTGCTGTTACAAATTGAAAAAGGGTGGGAGACAGGATTTAAGAAAAGGAATGATAATCTCTTATTCAGCATTGATAAATGTCCCCATGATACATTTAAAATAAGGCCATTTTAGCGCTGTATGTAGTTAAGAAGCTCACTTAACTATGAGAAGACAGCCAGAGCATGAATTATTAACTGAAGTATCTACTACTGTTGTGTATATTTTCTAATGGTGTTTAATGCTGTCAGTTAATAATAAAGTAAGTAAGAGTATCTCACTGATAATGAGAGGAGTGCCGGAGTATTAATCAAGAAACCATAACTCTTTAACTGCTATATCTTTTACCTGCCAGGTCTGCCTCTACTGTTGGGCTTCTCCACACCTCTCATGCTTTTGTAGGGCTGAAGTGTTTTGGCTAGCATTTGATTCAGAAAGCTTCATCAGTTTTGTTATAGGTAGTACTTCATGGTGCTTTATCTATTAGTGCCAAACTAATTCTGAATGGCCATTAAGGGACTACTTCCAATTAGGAAGCCTATGTATGAATATTACCCTAGTAGCAGTTGCTAATATGGGTATTCTCAGTCCATTGCTAGTATAGTAGCAAGTAGCAATGAAAAGGTTATTAAATAAGGAACAGTATCTTAGAGCTATAATATCACAGTCCTGTGATTCAACTTCTTAACATGCTTTGAGAAGTCTATTGTGTAATCTGTGAATAGGAAACTAGATTTTAAAAATTGTTGATCATACAGTTTAGTGGCTGGTGTACAAGCTTTCAAGCTTGAGATTCATCCAACATTTTAACTAACAAAGGAATTATCATCAGGTTATATATGGTGAATTGCCCATGGTCATGTTTATATACACTGGGGGTGTGGCCATCACAAACCTTCCCTTCCCATTCTTGCACACACACACACACACACACATATATATATATATAGTGTGGCATGTAGATCCATTGCTAGGGAACAACTGTGAAAGAAGCAGCTATACAACAGCCATTGCTGAGTAATGGCTTCACAAATAAGCATGTTTCTGTGGTAACAGTTGTGCAGCAATAATGAAACGGTGCTGTCTGTGTAGTCCATGCAGAGACGTTATAAGCAGGACAGTTTGTTGAGTTGAGGTACTTGGTTGGAGAGTGACTGAGTTAGTCAGTGAGTTAGAGAACTGCTGAGGTTCAGTCATTGTGAGCTTTTGCTGGAAGAAGCTGGTAGCTGAGGCTGGGGATAGTTCAGGAACCTGGAGGAAAGGGAACATCTGCTGTTGGAAGCCACTACCAAGCAACAGCTAGTGAAGATATGACTGTGGACACTAGTATGTATGTGCGTGTGTCTGTATGTGTGTTTGTGTTTGTAATATTGAATTGTTAATTCTAGTCTTGCACTATATCAAAGAGCCCAATTAATCCAATGATCACTCCAAAACCCACCCAAGTCACTCATTCATGTACAAACCCATGTATGATTTGGGAAAGGACTCTGCTGATGGTACTACAATGGGTGAGGAACATGCTGGTCTCATTGTGCAACACTAGACTGTCATTCAGGGGGTTGTGTTTGTTTCCCAGGCGATCTGTATGCAGACTTTGCTTTACAGATTGACCTTTCATCTTTGACAAAGACAGAAGTTTTGGGAGTGTGAAAAATGCTAGGCCCTTGTGGCTTGGAGCCCATGCTGTATGACCCCCCTCCCCCTTCCTATTGTTATCCTTGTGATCAGTCTCTCACTCACTGGGAGGTAACAGAATTCACTCTGTGAATATATCCACCTAAGAAGTAAATACTGCACCCTTGCCTGTATGGACAACAGTCAGAAATTGCAAACAAGACATAATTGGAGGAACTAGAAATTAACATATAAAATGTTGGATGCAGCTCATACATCTTCCACACATTTAGACTTTTGGTGCTGTAATAATCTGCAGAATATGAAATTATATCTAATTATATTATTGTGAATGTTTTGGAGAGCTTCTGTTAATATATTCTGCAGGAATTCCAGACAGTGCGATTAGCACTTATGCATCGTGGGGAAACAGTCATAGACAACTTCTTTCTCATCAGTGGCTTCGTTGTGGCATATATTTTGCTGCAAGAGCTCCACAGAAAAAGGTTTAACCCACTGAATTTCATTCTGTCCAGGATCATGAGGTGAGTTTATGTATAATTTGTTCTGTGAAGTAGCGATTGGGATATATCATTTTAGAGTTGCATTAGCTCCCAAAGCATTTATTTGTATTGTATGTGTACGATTATTTATATTTCTAACAAAGGTGAAAATGGGTTTTCCAGCTGTTATGAAATACCTTTGTTATTTTGTTTATTTATGTGTTATGTTTAAGCAGTTTTTAATTTAAATAAAGAGCAATTTATATTGCAGCAATCAGATGTATACTGCTGACAACTACCCACTTGACAAACAACATCATTATTAAGTTGTACTCTCTTACACACAATTTATATGTGATGGGTAAACCAAAATTGTAGATGAGGATAAACACATAAACATATACACTCATAAATTATAAATATTGTAATCATTTTCATTTCTTAAGATTTTAAATTACAGCATATTATGCATCTTTCAATACCTTTCTTTATAAGACTGGGGTTCTCACAGCAGTGGTTATGAAGAGTTCTGACTTCTGGGATATAACACTGTGTAGTCCACTGAAAGTCAACTGATGTTTCAGAGGTGATGTGTTTCTACAAAATGAGGGTTGACTTTTAACAAACTACATGGCGTTGTATCCTATAAGATAAATCTCTTCATCTTATATTTAGTTTATAATACATAATAGCATTACATTTAAATGTGTTTAAATGAAACATATGGTAAAGTCTGGATAAGTAAACATTTGTCTGATAATTTCTCTATCCAGAATCTTCTGAAACAAGGAGATGCTTTATCACCACTGCTCTTCAAATTTGCTTTAGAATATACCATTAGGAAGGTCCAGGAAAACCATGTGGGACTGAAATGGAACGGGATGCTTCAGCTGCTGGGCTATGCTGATAATGTGAATCTACTGGGTGATAACATAGATACAATTGTGGGATTGTCAATGTATGAAATGACAACCACTTGAAACTCTTAACACTTGTATGTATATATTGGATTGATTAAACGGAATTTACAGAACACAGGATGTATATAGTGTTCAAGCGTTAGCTGGCCCCCAAGAGGCAGTTCGTGCCACTGCAATTTCACTCCTGTGTAGTGGGCGGAGTCTACGGCCGTTTAGCTGGCTGGTCTGGACGGTGATGCAGTGCTGCGTGCACCGGTAGGATCGGCTAGCTCGGCCGGTTGCTGGGATCGCGGAAGATGCGTTTGCTGGAGACTTGCCGCTGCTGCTTTGGTTGCCTGGTCGCTGGAGGCCTGCGGCAACTAGAGCTGAAGTGAGGAGCTGATGTCTCCTACGACCGATCGCAGTGTAGAGTCGATGGCTGAACGTGCTGAGCCGGATGTGTACACTGCTCTTGCGAGTTTTTGGCTCCGCTTTTTATACCATGCTCGGTGGGTGGAGCGAGACTTGCATTTGAGGAGTAGAGCGCTGATTGGCTAGTGAAAATGAGGAGCAGAAATTTGCAGTACGTGCTTGTATAAATATGAATGAAACGTCCGGCAATACGATATTCACTAAGGAGTGAGTGTTGTCTAAAAGACTGGTGGAAACAGTGTGCTATGTGGGATGTCCCCACACAATAAAGAAAAACACAGACACTTCAATTGGTGCTAATAAGGAGGTTGGTCTAGAAGTAAACAAAGAGAAAGCTAAGTATATGTTGCTGATTGTCGCAGAATGCAGGGCAAAATCATGGCATGAAGATAGGTAACAGATATTTTGAAAATGTGGCACAATTCAAATATTTGAGAATGATAATAACAAATCAAGACCTAATTCAGGAGGTAATTAAGAAGAGATTGAATTTGGATAATTCGTGCTACCATTCAGTCCAGAACTTTTTGTCTTCTCGTCTGCTGTCTAAAAACATAAAAATTGGAGTACACAAAAGTAAAATTTTGCCTGTAGTTCTGTATGGGTATGAAACTTGGTCTCTGACATTATGGGAGGAACATAAATCAAGGGTGCTGAGAAGAATATTTGGATCAAAAAAAGATGAAGTGATGGAAGGTTGGAGGAGACTGCATAATGAGAAGCTTCATAACTTATACTCTTTGCTAAGTATGAATAGAATGATCGAGCGAAAGAGGATGAGATGGAAAGAGCATGTAACACAAATGGGGGCAAAGTAGTATGCATATAGGATATTGTTGGAAAGCTAGAAGGAAAGATACTACTAGGAAGACCAAGATGTAGGTGGGTGGATACTATTAAAATGGATCTTAGAGAGATAGGATGGGGTGGTATGGACTGGATGAATCTGGCTCATGATAAGGACCAGTGGCCAGCTCTTGTGAACTCATTAATGAACGTTTGGGTTCTAAATTGCTGGGAAGTTCTTGAGTAGTTTCATAATTGGCAGCTTCCCAAGAAGGGCTCAGTTATTACCTGTAATGTCATAACATTTGGCTAGATTATATTAAATGTCTTGAATTATTTAGTTATATTAATGGTGTCAGTATATAATTTTTCAACTTTAAAAATCTATATTCTTCTGAACTTTAATATCAGATATACACAAGGGTAAGTTGATAAGTAAGTTACAAATGGCTATAGAACTTAAACAAATAAGAGTACTGATTTGAAAAATGCTTTTATTTCTCAACATAAAATCCCTGTACATTGAGGCACTTGTCCCATCGTTTCACAAGCCCCTGAAAACCAGCAGCATAAAATTCTTTGGTCTGCTGTTGGAACCAGGCATGTTCACATGGTATGGCCTACCTCATAATGCATGACAGGTTAGGTTTTCACAAAGTCTGTGCATGATGGGTGCCATGGATGCTGACCCCACGACACAAAATAGAAAGAATGGGTCTGGCATTACAGCATCTCAATCGCTACCACTATGAAGGACACGATATTCTAGCCCGAATTGTCACAGGTGATGAGTCTTGGGTTCATCATTACCAGCCCATGACAAAGCATGTGTCAATGCAGTGGAAACATCTGCATTGCCTGCCAAAAAAATTTAAAGTGACACCATCCTCCAGCAAAGTGATCCTCACAGTCTTCTGGGATTATGAGGGCACACTCCTCACCACATTCCAGCCTCAAGGACAAACTGTAAATGCTGACTCCTACTGTAACATCCTCAGGAAACTTCGTAAGGCCATTCGACAGAAGCATGCAACCTGTCATGCATTATGAGGTAGGCCATACCGTGTGAACACACCTGGTTCTGACAGCAGCCCAAAGAATCTTATGCTGCTGGTTTTCAGGAGCTTGTGAAGCGATGGGACAAGTGCCTCACTGTACAGGGAGATTATGTTGAGAAATAAAAACATGTTTCAAATCAGTACTCTTATTTGTTTAAGTTCTATATCCATTTGTAACTTACTTATTGACTTACCTATGTACTTTCATTTATCTTACTATGAATTTAGATGAGAAGAATTTAAGGCTGCTAATGAACCTTACACTTAGTATGATTTGGTTTCTGGACTTTGTCCACTATCTGATATTCCAAACAGAACACATTACATTACATTACCACTTAATGTTCCTCAGTTTAAAGTTTCCCTCTATAACGTTCAATTTCATAATTAAATTTCCTTCATTAAAGAATTACCCCAACTTGCTGGTGAAATCCACTGCTGCCCAATGTAAATTTAAGTGGGCATTTCAAAAATGAGTTCTGTTTCCATCATTAAATGAAAAGATGGAGAGGCACACCCTCACTTTGATCCATTAGAAATAGCTAATCTGATCTAATGTAATCTAATCTAATCTACTGGACCACCATAAGCCAGTTGAGTTGATGCCTCCCCACCTTTTCATTTGAGGATGGAAACAAATCCATTTTTCCAAACACTGTGTTCTGAAGAGTTCTGTCTCCTGGGATATAATGCCATAGAGTCCATTGGGAGCCAACTGATGTTTCGGTGGGACATGTCATCTCCATCTTTAGGGTCACAGAAAAGCCGAGCAAGGAACCAGCATGAAGGCTGTAGCAATCAACGAACTTTTGCTTGCTGCCTGTTTCATGCTGGTTTCCTACTGGCTTATTCTTTGTGAAGATGTAGGCAACATGTTCCTTTCAAATGTCAGTTGACTTTCAATATTCCAGAAGATAAGAATCTTCAGAACCACCTCTGTGAGAACTTCAAATCTTACATTGTATTGTGTTTGGAATACTAGATAATGAGCACATTCCAGGGTCTAATGAAGAATTAAAGATAAATTATGTAATTGTCAGCAATCCTATTAAAGACATTTAGTTCCAGAAATTGAAATAGTCACATAAAAGTTAGTCCTTTTTATAGTTAACACAGCAAAACTCATTAAAATTATGTGTCCCATGTCATATTCACAGTAACAAAATAGAGTACTCAAAGAGCATTTAAATTTACTGATTTGTGTGTCAAGTCGTAATGAATTAAAATGGTATAGCAGAGGATGAAGTTTAATTAAATAATGATTTTATGTTATCTTTGTTTCAAGATAAGCTTTCACACCAGCTAAATATGCTTCTCAGGCAGACTTTGACTCCAAACTGACATAGTTGGTCATGCAATAAGATATTATCATTTTATTTCCATATTTGGTGTTCAGAGAATGATGCTATCTGTTATAAAATATTGTCTTAGAATTGCTATGGAGACAGTGAGCAAAACTAGAAAAATTTTAGAATAGTTTGCCTTACTATGGCTTTGGATCAGTTGTTTGCCTTGTACAAGTCAGTTATGATAAGTTATAAGAGAGTGCTAAAATGAATCAGTAACATGATCTATATGTTTGTCTCTGTTTTAATTATCTTTCTTACACATATATTTCCGTCTTAAGTGCAACTTATTATCTAATCACCCTTCTTCCTCACTACATTTTTCAGCCACATACAGCCATCATCAAGTGTTGTTGTCTATCTTGCTACAATTGTTGCATCATGTGTCAAAATTATATATCATGTGTGAATGCAATATTCACTCACCATGGAGCTGAGCCCTACTTGAGAAGCCACAAATTGTGAAGCTACTCAAGAACTTCCCACCATTTTATGGAACCCAAAGGTTCATTACTGAGTTCACAAGAGCCCTCCACTGGTCCCTATCCTGAACCAGATCAATCCAGTCCATACCATCCCATTCTATCTCCTAAGATCCATTTTAATATTGTTCACCCACCTATGTTTTGGTCTTCCTAGTGGTCTCTTTCATTCTGGCTTTCCTACGAATATCCTATATGCATTCCTCTTCTCTCCCATTCAAGCTACAGTGAATGTGATATTTCCTAATTAAAATAAAGTAACCTTAAATGAAAACTAAAATTAATTACTTAACATCTTAATATTTTTCCACCCTGATCATCATCCATTCATTTAAAAGATGTATGCATGAGAGTATTACTGGTTATTCAATTTACTCGCACTGCATTTCCTTTGCAGCATGGGTATTATGTGTGTTATTTGTGCAGTTCATAAGGACATCGATGTAGTGTTATTGTCAGTGGTGTTATGTATGCTCCATTGGCTTGTAGGTTTCTCTACGCTGTTAGACTACTTATATTGATATGTAGTTATTGTGTGAGAGAGATATATTTATGCAACATGATGCTTAAATACAATATTCTGTTGTAGGGTTTTACCAGCTCTCCTAGTGATGATATTCTTTTACGCAACATTGTTCTACAAACTCGGTTCTGGTCCTCGCTGGGATATAGTAGTTGGACCTGAAAGAGACTACTGCCAGAAGAACTGGTGGACGAACTTGCTTTTCATCAACAATTATGTGAATGATGAGCGCATGGTGGGCACAACTTTGAGCTCTATGCTAGATAAGCCTTTCCATCCATTGATAGTTTTTGATACTAGCTGATTCATTATGAGCTGATAATATTGAACACTGCATGTTGCTTGTAGTATAAGGGGCAGTCAAATGAAAATGGGTCACCACGCATAACTCACACGGCACACAAGCTGGTAACACTGGTATTTGCTTATGGTGGGGACTCAGGAAAGCAGTGACGTGCCCTTGCGCACTAGTCGTTTGTTTATTGTGCTGGAAAAAAGGTTAGCGCTATGTGTGGTCGACCAACATCAGTAATGGGGGCGGATAAAGAAGAAGAGCAAAGTGTAGTGCGCTTTTTGACTGCTGAAGGAGAGGGACGAGAAATTCATCATCACATATCTGTTGCTTACGGCGAACACAGCATGTCACGTTCGCGTGTGCTGGCATGGCATAAGAGATTCTGAGAGGGACATGTGTCACTGCAAGATGATGCTCGCCCAGGACAGGCTCATTGTGTCAAAACTCCTGATGTTATTGCTGTGTTGGATGGTCATATCCGGGCAAACCGACAGATCACTGTGGAAGAAATTAGTCTTTTGATTGGAATAAGCCACGGTTCCTTATACGCCATTGTGACAAAACACCTGCTGTACCGCAAAATCTGTGCACAGTGGGTTCTGCATTGACTCACAGAGGAACAGAAGACTCAGAGAATGGCTGCATCACTGGGTCACTTGCAATGATACCATGAGGAAGAGTATGCCTTTCCATCCCATATTGCCACTGGGGACAAAACTTGGTGCCACCATTTTGAACTCAAGAGAAAATGGCAGAACCAACAGTGGAAACACATGAATTCTCCCCCACTGAAGAAATCCAAAGCCATACACACAAGTGCTGGAAAAGTGATGATGACATTCTTCTTCGACTGCAAGGGCCCTCTGCTTGTCGAATTTCTCAAGCATGGGGCCACAATCAGTGCACAGCGCAATGAAGACACTTTGCAGAAACTGAGATGGCCATCAAGTCAAAATGCCCTGGAATGCTATCAAATGGCATCATCCTTCTTCATGATATTGCACGTCCCCACACTGCCAACTCTGTGAGGAATACGCTACAGAGATTTGGTTGGGAAGTGCTTTAACATCCCCCCTACAGCCCAGATCTCTCCCCATGTGATTTTCACATTTTTGGAGACCTGAAGAGAAACATTCATGGACATTGGTTTGCACCAGACGAAGACATGTGTGGCTGGGTAAAGAAGTGGTTACATAGACAGCCCACAAACTTTTTCAAGGGTGGGATTGACCGTCTTATCTCCCAGTGGGATAAATGTAATAACAGTTTTGGAGATTACTTTTGAGGTAAGAAATGTTCTTTAATATATTTCGGCTTCTGACCTGTTTTCATTTGACTGCCCTTCATATGTTTGGAATGCCCAGTTTTTTAAAGTCAAAAATATTACCACCTGCATGTGATTGTCATACCGACTGATCTAATGGTTAGCACACTGCGTCAGTATCCAAATGACCTTGTGTTACATCCCAGTCATTAACAAAAAATATCAAGCAGTAGAAATAGACATCAGGACAATAACAACCTGTAACCAGAAAATGGCAACAAATCCCTTCAAAATGTTGGTTACCACATACCAGACTGCATAGCAGCCTCCGTAGTCTAGGGGTAACGTTCCCACCTCATGACTCAAGGTACACAGGTTCAAACCCGGTGGAGGTCGTGGAATTTTTAAGGGCGGAAAAATTCAGGGAACAAGTCCTCCGGGAGGGACTTTAAGCTGTGGGTCCCGTGTCGTAGATTTACGGTACGTAAAAGATCCACATGTCTCTAGGAGACCTCTGAGCAAAATTAGATAAAAAGTTTTCCACCCAAGTAGTTTCCAATGCCTCCGGTAGATGGGGGAAGTATCAGGTACCACTGCCAGTAGAGGGGCCGAACTCGCTGGCTGAATGGGGCTGATAGTGAGCACCAGTACTGGAAGGGTATGGCGACTAGTAGAATATCAAAGGGGGATGTAAAACCCAACCCCTCCAATAATGAATAATACCAGACTGCATGGAGTCAAACCTAGAAGGTGACCATCTATGTCTTCACTGCTGTTAAAATTTGAAATCTGTTATCTTATCAGACTGTTTATAATCTCTGTACATCTCTCATAGGCTGTGTCAGAAAGTAGAAGCAGTCTGTTTTATATAGCATTAGTTTAATATTTTCTGAAATGTATTACTAAAACTTGAACTCTGTTACAGTGTCTGCTGCAGTCCTATTTCCTGGCTTGCGATATGCACTTCTTTATCATTGCAATTCCAGTAGTGATATTACTTTCAAAACGGCCAAGTATTGGGGCAGCAGTGCTGGGTGGAATAATACTTGTCTCCATCATCATTCCATTCCTGGTGACTTATCTGGATCATAAACCAGCACTTGTCAACTTCTATATAGAGTATGTATGTCATAACTTCATAAATTGTTCTCAGATTATAAACTGTAAGGTTACTCCATAAGCACTTCTGATATTTTTGAAGTTACCTTAGTTTTCTTCAGCGGGATCAATACTTGCTTTTAACGTTTACACTTACTGTTACAGTAATGCAACAGCTGGCTGGTGTGTGCTTGGGCACCTTTATGTAGTGTAGTATACAGCCAGTTGGTCTGCACACATTCTCCATTACAGCAGTGCAACACACAATCAGTGGGCTGTGCATATGCACTGTTACATTAGTGCCACACATGGCCAGCTGGTCTGTTCATATGCACCACTACAGTATTGCAACTCAATGGTAGTAAGGGTTGGTGTTGGCTTTTCAGTCTGGAAAGTATTTATGAAATGATATTCCTGTAAAAGGTTAAAATCTTATCACTGTGCATGATTTCAAATAATGTTGATCTGGAAGTGTCCCCAGTTCATTTCAAATGCCATAACTCACAGTTTGGTTTAATTAAAATATGTGCTACATTTGCTACATTGTCAGGAGTTGAACTTTGTGCAAAGAGACCATTTGGAATACAAGGGCCAAAGTTAGGAGGATGCTATTAATGACTCTTAGAGAAATAGAGTGTTTTTATGTGGAAAGGATTGTGGAAATTGCCCTCAGGTTAAAACGTCAATGTTAAAATATTTAAAAATTTAAAACATTTGAAGTAAAAATGTTAGGATGGAATGCGAGAGTTGAACGTGCTTTCAATAATCCTAGCAAGTGTTGTGCTTTTACACATTGACACATTGTAGCAGCGTCCACGCAGCATATATACTGTGTACATTTAAACAACGACAGTGTTTTCATGATTGTACTATGTGCCTCTGATGATGGTTTTATTAAACCGAAACATGTAAGGCAAAAGTGATAAAGAAGTGACATAAAAAAAAATTGTTACACTCGACGGACTTTCTATTGACTTTGTGATTGATAGTGTAACGGACCAAAATGAAACAATTGAAAATTTCAGTTTGCTCAAAAACAGTTGTTTTGATTAAATTTCAGTAATTTATGGAGACCATCTCCCAAAATAAAGATGCTTAGTTTGTATCTTCAGGGAAATAATGATCGCCATCAAATTTGCAAACACATGTCTGATCAAGTATGTGCATTGCTTTTGTATATATTTTTCTTATTCTCAGATATAAGACACTCTATGTTTTGAATGAAAATAGAAGTGAAATCATATAATTTTTTCACCTTATAAATGTAACTGATTTAAAATAGTTAAGATTTATATTTATTTGCATTACTTATTCTATTTATTGAAATTTGAAACATGCATATGTATAATTTTGTTTCAGTTTTCTATTGGCTCCACGAGGAAATGATGTTTATCAATCTGTCTACATTAAGTCTCATACTAGAGCAAGTCCTTACTTTGTTGGATTAGCACTGGGGTACTTGCTCTATAATCATCTCAATGGCAAACAGAAAATTGGAATGGTAAGCATCAGTGCTGTTGTATAGATACTGCTGCTGTAATACCATATCTCAGATCATTAACTAGTTAAGTAGCCAAGATTGTGGTCTTCTGGTTTGTGACATCATGTAATCTTGTTGGTGAATATTGATGTATAGGATGAACATCCTGAGACAGATGCAGCATGTTCCTCCAAAATGTCAGTGTTAAGCAGAAGATGCAAGGGACATATGTCCAGCTAGTGAGAACATACGTACAAAGGGGGCACAAACATGGATGCCAGAAAAGGAAGATAATGTGTAATGGAGAGGGAGTTTCATTCTCAAACAAACACATTTTAGTGTAAAAAACAATATACAATAGCATAGAAATATATTGAATAAGATCTAGTGCAGTGGGACTGTTTTCAAACAGTGAACAGTTGTCTGAAAATGACCAAGTAAGGCCAAAACATGTAGTAACTGAGATGATTTAATATTATTTTAAATTAAGGAGAGATTGTGAAAGTTTTAAGTTGCATTAAAGACAGAGGTGAATGAATGATATATCTATGCAACAGGATGCTCAAATATAATATTAAATAGAAGTATTAATGAGGTTGGAAAAGCACATAGAATGTTTTAAATGGATCACTTTTGACAAAAGTACATTTCTTTCACTTTCACTTTCACTTTCACTTTATTTTAAATTCCATAGATCCTTTTCAGGTCACACATACCGTAGGATATAGAACATGTCAAAATACATAAACACATACATAAAAACAATGAACCCATCAACATGCAATACAATCACAATACAAAATTTGTACATAAAATATTCAAATATGATCAAATTTATGCAGATATATGATTATCGTTGTCACCATCATAAATCAATACAAAAGACCTATTCATAATATAGAAGTTTGATACAATTATTTCGATCACATAACTACAAATACTTAATTTTCATTTTGTGCATCCTGTTGTGTTACAATATAGTATATACAATATACTTAATTTAACAGTCCAAATACAGTACATTTCATCAGGATTTGAAAATTAGAATATACAATAAAAATTCAGTATGTACAATCGTCATTTCATAGCAAGAACCTTAAAATTTGAAAACTATTTATTAACATATTCCTCTGCAGGATAAAGGGAAATGAGCTGTCAGTAAACCATTCATGACCTTTTAATTGTATACAGTCATATGTTATTTAAAACAGATGGGCTATTACAGTACCATACTACCATAAAATTTATACCCTTAAATGCCAAGCCACTAGTCAGTGGGGTCATTATGTGTAAAATCAACCTAACAAACAATTCAAGAGAATATCTGGATTACAAACCTTTGTCTTCTTTATATTGAAAGTATTCGTTTATAGAGTAGTTAGTTAGTTAGTTATTGGAGACGGTGGGTTTCCCCATGCACTGAGACCTGTATTGGTCCATTGTGCTTCCCTCTATGATCTACCAGTCTCTATATCCTACTGGTACTGGTGCTTACCATCAGTCCCGCCCAGCCAGCGAGACCGGCTCTACTAGCTGAGAGGTATCTATAAAGCTTCCCCCATCTACCAGAGGTATTAGAGACTGCTGTTGGGCGGGAAACATCCGTTAATTTGGCTTAGTGACCTCCTTTGGAGATATGAGGTTCTTTTACGTGCCATAAAGCTACGACACGGGACCCACGGCTTAAAGTCCCTCCCGGAGGACTTGTTCCCTGAATTTTTCCACCCTTAAAAATTCGATGACCTCCGCCGGGTATTTGAACCCACGTACTACGAGTCATGAGGTGGGGAACGTTACCTCTAGACTACGGAGGCCGCTTTTATAGAGTAAAAAGAATAATGACATAAACACCTCTTTAATGTAAATTAAAACTTTTCTCATCATTGACCAAAATCTTTATTGATCGTGGAAGATGACTGAAGACTTGAATACCTGTTATATAGGCTCCTTTATTAAATTTTGAAGTATTCACACTAGGTACCTGCAAATTACGTTGGGATCTAGTTGTAAATTCATGAATCTCGCTATTAAAGTGGACCTGTCGTCTGACAGATTACTGATGAATGAATGAAATGTTTATTATTAATTACATATAAAAGTAGTGAGTATATATACTAAGAATATAATGTCATAATTCCCAATTTCTTGAAAATATCCCTGCAAGAATCCCTAGGTTTAGTGTTCGTTACAATTCTAATAATTTTCTTTTGCAAGATTAACACTTTCCTGGCATGTGAGGAGGCACCCCAGAAAATTATACCATAACTCATGATGGAGTGTACGTAAGCAAAGTAGATTGGCCTTAACGTTGCAAATGATACAGTATGTTTTATATTTCGCACTGCATAGCACGCAGAGGATAATCTACTAATCACTAGGTCAATTTGCTCTTTCCAAGATAATACATCATCAATAATCAAACCAAGGAACTTAGTTTCTCTTACATGGGAGACACTTTCCTGATCATAATTAATTTGTGTCGTTGTGTTACAATTCATGGACCGAAACTCTAAATATAGAGTTTTATTGAAATTTAAAGTAAGTAAATTAACATTAAAACAAGTGTTTATATCTTTAAAATTTGCCTAAGATTTGTTTCAAAATTTACATTATTAGTACCAGTAATTTTAATACTGGTGTCATCAGCATATAGAACCATGTTATTATCCTTGTTTATTATTTTATGTAAATCATTTATATAAAATAAAAAAAGCAGGGGTCCGAGAATCGAGCCCTGTGGGACTCCACACTTAACTATTTCCCACTTAGATGTATTGTTACTATCAATTATATGACCCAAAACAACTCTCTGCTGTCTACCAGTTAGATAAGATTTAATTAGTGTTTTAAATATACCTTCTATTCATATAATTCTAGTTTATGCAACAAAATTTTGTGATTTACACAATCAAAAAACTTTTGCAGGTCACAAAAAATACCTCCTACATTCTGCTTATTATTCATGGCTGTGAGAATACTATTAATCAATGAAAATGCCGCCTTCTCAGTTGAAAGATGTGCCCTGAATCCATATTGTTCCTAAGCCAAGATACTGTTAGCTTCATATGAGTGATTAATCTTGAATAAATAAGTTTTCCAATAATTTCTGAAAAGGAAGTCAACTCTGCTGGTGACACTGATAAAACAGTACGGCTCAAAATCAAATTTAAGTGGCAATTTTAAATTAGTATTTTTTATAATATATTTTGTCAAAATCTGTCTATTCAGAGTTAAGTTATTCATACCGTCAGACAGATAGGGACAACCCAAAAATAGAGACCATGTAAGTTTTGTGAATGTGCTTAAAACGCATACATCATATGAGATTTGGGGTTCTTCAAGCACTGAATATCAAGATTATGCTCTTCTGGCATGTCACAGTATGCAGTTTGTCAGATAGGTACCAACATTTCAGAAGAACCTCCTGCCTTCATCTTCACAGTAGAAGCTGGTGGCAGCAGGTTCCTCTGAAATCGGCGCTCACATTTCTCATTGTCCCTGTGCAAATTTGTCAATGTATTAAAATTCACACTTCAAAAGTATTTGTCTCTTCTTATTATTCAAGCACTACATGTTTCAGCCTAATTTGCCAACATCAGGTGTACAACTTGTAGAGGAAACTGTTGCCCCGTTGTCATGCTGCTACACTTTGCATTGTAAGAGTGTAAAATACTTATAAAATATTTCAAAATTATTTTTAAAATATCATGCTGTGATTTGAAAGTTAGTACTTCTCTACTAAATTACACGATGCCACATCCAAGATGACCATAATCTAAGCCTAAACATGAATTTGCTGTAGTAAGATTGTGATCGTCTAGGTCATGATACCATGTAGTCTTGTAAGTGGTTACCAATATTTCTGAACCTGCTAATTTCATCTTCAGGGCTAATCTGAAACTACAAACTATGCAGTATCATAACCTGGAAGACTACAGTTTTAATTTTCACTGTCATGGAAATTTAAATGTTGTCACTTAATAATAAAGTTACTTTGCAGGTGCCTTCTGTAGTGTTGTGTGGGTGCGTTGTCTGTCTTCTGTATGGAACTATGATGTCTGGAATTGTATTCTACGATCCAACAAGACCTTACAATCCATTAGAAGCAGGGTTTTTTGCTGGAATGCATCGCTTTGTATGGTCTCTTGGAATATCAATTTTTATAGTCGTTATTACCTTAGGGAAACTACGTAAGTTATGTTTGTTAAAGTACAAAATAATTTATCTGCCATTAAGAAGGTAAAGAATTTAGCGACTGCTTCAGTTGAGCAGCTTGAATAGACTCTTCACTAATGACAAACTACAAATGTAACATTCCATTTAGTCAAACTTAATGGTCTGATTATATTTAGGTTGAAATGGAAAATAAAAAAAGAATGTTTCATAGAGAAGATCAAACAGCTGTAAGTACACAGATACATTTCTGTGTTGTACTTCACAAAATTTTCTGTTGGATGTTTGAAATATTTTGGTTGGATATTTCTTCTTCATCGCTTGTTAAATCATACATGAAGTTCATGGAGTCATGTTTATTTGACTTTCAGGTATTTATTTTCTACATTTAAACTCAGCACTGGCTCTATGATGTCCAAAGATTTTTAATTTGACTGTTCTAGAAATAACAATTAAAAAATGTGCATTACTTAATATTTACCCAGTTTTTTTTTAAGTAAGACACCAAATTACAATTTGGAGGGTCATGGTTTCTTTTTCTGGTCAAATAAAGATGGAGGATGTTCTTATTTTGGGAACAATCACAAGCCCATGCTGCTACCATATTTTGCTTGGTGTTCCTTCTGCTGGCTGTCATTCTCACTATCATACTATCATAGTCATCTTGCACATTCTGACCTGGGAGTGGATTGAAGCAGCTTACTTTATGGCATAAAACATGAAGATCAATAAGACTGAAAGTGTGTGCTACAAAGCAAACATTATATACTTTCAATAAACAATTATGTTAGTTGTCTCAGAAGTTATAGCTTATTAAAAAATTCCATTAAGTTTTCCATCCCCTTTTTAATCTAGAATTATCTCTAGGTAATTTTCAGCAGCACCCAGTACCAGATTAAGTAAAAAAACTAACTCAGTTCTTATTCATATTTGAGAAAAAAATTATCTTACAAAGAACTGTAGTAGATCAAAAATTGATTAGATTAATGGTAGTATAATTGTGATATTTCCACTGTCCATTAAATCAATCCTGTAATACACCCAACATTTTGAATTGTCACTCATGACAGAAGCAAATATTTACATGACCATTCACATTGTGCACATATAAGAATTATATGGAAGTTTCAATAACACTTTTATTTTAATATTTAGTAATTTAAAACAACATCTTTGGAGGCTGGCAGTAAAAGGGTTGATGCTAAGCTCATGATTAAATTAATAAATTCAATGCTGAAAGCACATGATTAGAATCGTTGGCATTTACATTACATGAAGTAGGCATGATAAATTTATGTCATTCCTAAAATGTTATGAAGTAGGAGATGGGGCAGAAGCATAGATTGAGGGTGCCTGAGAAAAAAGTGCAGCAAGGATATCTGGGGTAAGAAATAACAAAGAATAGATCTACATTACATAATGAGATTCAGAATTCATATTCCTCATATAATACAGAATGTCCGGATGAAAGGTACCCAAAATAAAATAATTATATCTCAGAAAGCTTTTACTATACACATTTATGGGTTACACCACTACAAAGAGAAACTATCAAAGTTTTTTCTGAGTATATAACTTTCTAAATAAATTTCAACATGGGCTCCCTTGGTGGCATGACACATATATCCAGATAATCCAGCATGTTTGGTGTTACCATAGCCACAGCGTCCCTTATGCTGGCTTTCAGTTGTTGCAGGTCGTTGATCTTAACCTGGTAGACAATGTTCTTCACCTAACCCCACAAGAAAAAATTCAGTGGCGTTAAATCTGGCGACCTAGGAGGCCAAGCGATTGATCCACTTCTGCCGATCTATCTCCCAGCCATCACTCTGTCCAAGTGATTCCTAACATGGTGGCAGGGCCACGCCACAGCTCAAGCAGTTAATCACTGGCTCCCCACAGCGGTGGCCCCTGTTTGAACCCGGGTCTGATCAAGTGGGATTTGTGGTGGACAAAGTGGTGCTGGGGCAGGTTTTCTCCGAGTACTTTGGTTTCCCCTGCCAATCTTCATTCCACCAATTGCTCCACAATCACTCTCACCTATCATCTGGGGCTGGTACAGTAGGCCAGAAGTGGCCGCAGTACAAGGGACTTAGTCCCACCCCACTAGCAATAAAAAAAAACATGGTGGCAGAAATGTGGCAGCGCATGTGCATAAGCTGGGCATGGAAGAAACTTACAGAGTTTTTCCTTTCTGATGACATAAACCAGATATGTGTATTACTTTCCAAGATATAAATTTTTTATTTTGGATACCTTTCATTCAGACACCGGATATTGTTAGGGCAGTTATAACAAGAAGGATGAGGTATGTGTGATATGTTATCACATGGGGTATATAAGAATTTCATTCAAAATTCTGATTGTAGTACTGCAAGGTCTCTTGCAAGGCCTACACATAGATGAGAAGATGCTATTAAAATGGATCTTAGAGATGCCAAACTGAATGAACTAGTTCAGGGTATGGTCCAGTAGTTCAGTGAGCCCTTCAGGAATTTTTCAGCCAGAAGAAAAACAGTCAAATTCTGTAGAATATGTACTTTCATGGAGTTAGTTGAATAGCATAAGTTTCTAGCTTATAGTTTGAGAGCCTTGAGCAATAATCTGTCACATTGCATTGTTCCTTACTAGCTGTCATCAGTTCTTTGTTGTCAAGCAAACTGCTGCTGAGTCTGGGAAGTCTTTCATACTGCATGTTTCTAATACATCCAGTGTTCCTCTATTGGAGTAATGGGGGCCTGCATCATCCTGAATATTTTTCCTACAGCAGAATAGTAAGTAGTCACTCAGAACTACATTATACAATACTTCACATGCTTATTGCTAATACAAGTGGTACCATAGTTATGGTCAATCCCAAGAAGTGAAAACCAGATGTAATCTGGCAGAAACTTCTAAGAAAGGCTGTGGCTCAAAAAGGGCTGTTTTGCCATTGATGATGGTGATGATGATGATGTATGCATTTATACACACACAGTAAGACCTCACTAATTCAGACTAATTGGGAGTGAACCCTTGTCAAAATTAGTGAAAGTCCAAATTCTAGAAGTGCTACTAAAAATGTGTTCAAGGAAGTGATAAAATGGACTTCACATCGCTTTTTAGTCAATACAGTGCTGTTGAGCCAGGATAGAGTAGTCAGTACAGCGACTGGTTACAGGCTGACAACTGAGGGGTCAGAGTTTGAGTCGTGGTAGGGTCAAGAATTTTTTTTTTCTCCACATCAACCAGATCAGCTCTGGGGTCCACACGACCTCCTACCCAATGGGTATCAGGGGCTCTTTCGCTGGGGGTACAGCAGCTGTGGCATGAAGCTGACCACTCATCTCCAGCTAGTGCCAAGGTCAAGAAAGTGTAGATCTATACATCCGCTCCTACATGTGCCTTCATGGCATAGTGCTTAATTAATTAAGCACAGGGCTAACTTTACCTTTACAACTCTGTTTTGAAACTTAGATTGTGTATCATAAAATAAATTTACTTGTCATAGAATGTAAAAATATAAGTTTTGACATCAATCTTAAACATTTTAGGTAGCAGCAATGTGATCATCAAGACTGTAAAACACACATACACAAAAAAGCAGTTGTCCAAATTATCAAAAATTCCGAATTAATGAGGTTTCACTATGTATGTATATATATATATATATGGAAAGAAAGCCATCCTAACATCTCCACTTGCCTAGTCTTATGAGTGTGATGCCTGAAAATATAGAAATATCCATATTTTTATATGAAATGCAGATCTATTTTGAACCCCAAAATTTAGCTTAGTTCTTTTGATAGGACTTTACCAAAATGTAGACCAAAGAAAATATAGTTTTCGCAGTAGAGACCCCACATATGACACTACAGGAACCAAATGTATAGGAATATTTTGATGTTTGTGTCACTGTTGTCATCCCTTACTGTACTGTTGCCAGGTGGTATTGGCAGCTGGAGATATTGTGCTGTCCATCTTTGCATCTCTGTTTCTGTACCTGACAATAGAAGCACCGTGTTCTCATATGACAAGAAAGATACTTTCAAAGTAAGTCCTCTTCTTTGCTGTCTTACACCAAATTCAAATTTAACACATTAAATGAGCATATGTTATGAAAGACTTGAGATACATTAAAAGGGAAAACTTGATAAAATAAAAATTTGTGAAATGTATGTGTATAGATCAAATTTTGACACATATCCAGAGTATAAAGTAACCATGATTTTTCAGAAAACCTGGCATGTTGTTTGCAATGCTGTACAATGTTATACGCTAAATTTCAGAAGTAGAGTGAAGAGTTATGTTTTCATTTACTTCAAAATGGAGAAGCAATTAAAGTGATTTTTTTTCCTTGGCACTACAGCCCCAGTGGGCCTAGGCCTATCTCCATGAACTTCTCTGTTCACTTCGGTTTTTCTAGATCTTAGACATATGGTAGGACTCCTTGGGTGGGTGATCAGCTCGTCACAAGGCCTCTACCTGTACACAAACACAGAAAAACGCACACAAACATCCATGCCCTGAGTGAGATTCGAACCCACGATCCCGGCTTCCGAGCGAGAGAAGACAGTGCATGCCTTAGACCGCTCGGCTACTGTGACAGGCTAATTAAAGAGATTACATGTACTAAATTAAGCCTAAAATGAGTCCCCCTGAACTAAATGTTATCTTGTATGCAAAATATAAAATGTAAACTTTAAATCCTTGAATTTTATTTGACACTTAGATATCCATATTTGGCATGTGTGATTAACATAAGAGAGTGGAATAGCATGACCACAATTACCATAACTGGAAAGTCATCCAGATGTGCTTGACACTGAACATTATTTGCAACAGCTGATGTAGTGTAAACAAACACCAGAGCCAAGTAAGTTTAACTTTAAGGCCATGCCTTAGCTCAAGCAGTTAGTCAACGCCTTCCCACTGTGGTGGCCCAGGTTTGAGCCCAGGTCAGGTCATGTGGGATTTGTGGTGTTTCACACTCATCATCAGCTATCATTTGCGGCTGCTACAGTAGGCCAAACAGTGGCCAATGTACCAAGTGGACTGTTTCACCCCACCCCAAGAAACTACACATAAAAAAACTAAGTTTAACTTTATTAGGCTCTGTACAAATTGTTGTATTATAACTGTAAAAGGGTGTAACATGAAATAGTTCAAAGTATATATGAAATATCTGGTTTTTCTGTCAGTTTTTAGAAGCTTTTTCTGATAACTGCTGCTTTATTCCTTTCTAATTTGCATACTTTTCAATATTATATAACCTTCATTTACTTCAGATTTCAAATAATGACTGATGAAATGTGAATGTGTTCAAACAGAAATGTATAAATTTAAAGACTACAGTATTTAGAGTGTGAGTCTTCTGTCATCATCGTCATTCTTTCCAGTGTTAGGCCCATTGGGAATTATTATAGATGTTACCAAAGAGAATCCTATCATTTGAGAGGGTTTCCAAACTTCATTTTCCAGTTGGTTGTTATTTTAAGGTTCTCTTTGGAATCCTATCATAGATCATTCTGTAAACATGTTCTTTTCAGTCATTATATAAATTTTGTTATTTGTCAAATCTGTAGTTCTGTCATGATGCCTTCATTTCCTTTATGGCTGAGAGATCATATCTCCCACTTCTCATTAAACATTTCTACTGATATCATTCTTCTCTATTAGTTCTTGTTGTCGATGATTCATTACTATAAGATAATTTTCATCTGATAAGTGTCATAAATTTGTATTCTTGTATGCCTAAAAGCAAATTATAGTTTAAAGATCTGACATAATTTTTAGTGTTTTGAGATATTACAGCTTTTACATTCAAGTCCTTTTCCATATAGTATGATAGATTATAATCCAAATAATTAACAGCATTATTTTTGGCAGTTTGCTATCATTAATACAGGTTTGCTTCTAATTGGCTCTAGCCCTCTTAGAAGCCACAATTTTAGTCCTTTTATTATTTATCTCCTTGGAAAACACTGCATCTACAAGGGGTGGATAAAAAGTGGTGGCAACATTGCTGTAACATGAAAGATGTGTATCAGGTGGCACTAGCGCCATCTGTAGCTGATAGTAGAAGTTCAGTTGAAGTAGTGCAGGGAGTGGCTCTGGTTGTTTTTCATTGAATTGCATTATGCATCGTCTTTGAATGCAGGAGCCCAGTTCAAGCACCCTAACATGTTTACGAAACAAGAACAACGCTCCTGGATGAAAATTGAAGTTGCCCGAGGTCGTAGTGCACAAAACTGTTATCAGGGACTGCGAGAAGCATGTGGTGATGCTGTTTTGCCATATCGCATAGTGGCCGATGGGTGAAATTGTTCCGTGAAGGGAGGGATGCCATTCAGGACAGCCATCACTCAGGATGACCCCATGTTGACAACCACACAATTCAGCTTCTTGCTTCTTTGCTAAATGTCGGTCGCTGATGGGTTGCATGGGAGTTAGCTGCTGAGGTAGGCGTGTATCACAAAACCGTGCTCCACATTCTGCACAAAATTCTTGGATACCGCAAAATTGCAGCACATTGGGTACCCCATACAATGTCCAAGGTGCAAAAATGGCAACGTTATGCAACTGCACAGGACTTGTTGGACCAGTACCAAAGGGAAGGTGATGACTTCCTTTGAAGGATCGTCACTCTGGACGAAACTTGGGCTCGCTCATATGAACCGCACTTGAAGCAACAATCAAATGAATGATCCTGGCTCTCCTCATTCAAAGAAAGTGCGCCCTACACAGAGTAATGCGAAGGCGATGTTCATTGTGGCATATGATACTGATGGAGTAATACTGCACCACACTGTACCACAATGACAGACAGTAAACGCTGCCTACTACTGCAATTTCCTGTGTCATCATCTTTGTCCAGCACTCAGGAGAAAGCAACAACACTTGTTGGCAATGAACCCCATCATCCTTCATGACAATGTAAGGGCTCATACCGCTGACGATGTCAAAGATCTCCTTCACTTCTGGTGATAGGAGATACTGCAACATCTGCCATACTCACCCGATATGAGTCCGTGCGATTATGATCTCTTTGCCAAAATGAAAGAACCACTGCGAGGGACATGTTACAACACAAGAGAGGAGATTATTCGTGCTGTATGGCGGTCACTGCTGGACATCAACAGAAGTGGACATGCTGATGGTGTACTATGCCTTCCACAACTTTGGCAGAAGGTGGAACACATGGGGGGCAATTATATTGAAGGAATGTAAGTGTGTTTACCTCAGGTAATACAGTCATTTCAGAACTATAGAGATGTTGCCACTACTTTTTATCTGACCTATGTATGTTATAAACATTGTATGCTGATCACTATAGATCATCTTCAGATATAGTCAGAATGATCTTATTATCCACAAATATCATAGTATCAATGTTAACATATCTGCTAACTGAAATGTTCCCATGTCTGGTCATTATTCCAAGTTCTGTATTGTTTTGTTCAGATATATGATTAATACTGGGGAGCCTTGCCTTTCACCTGCTAATTTATTTCCATTCAGAGATTTATGACTATAGTCTCACTTCTAAGTTGTGTTTGTAAATTTTATATACTGCTATAATCAGATGACTGGGTATATTATCTTCTGTACGAATTTTAATGATTATTTTATTAACATTATCGAATGTTTTCTTGTAATCTGTGAAGGCTAAATGGGTTTCTTCTAAGGATGCTGAAAGTAACGTGTTTATTTCTGTTTATCAGGAAAGTGGCAACAAAACAAGAATAGAGAAGACTTCGCTAAGTTGCTGAAGTGTTCCAGGAGTGCAGACAGAAAGATGTTTACACATTCATTCTCCTCATGAGATGAAGTCTTAACATTTTCTTTGATGCCATACATTTCTAACACTAAAACTTCGCTAATGTGGTTCACATTTCAGCCCAGTCTATTACAATCTGCTTTGAAACACACAGCAGTGTGGGCTATCGTTTTCATAGACTCATATTACAAGTGAAGGAAATATGGAAATTACCAGCTGTATTTGAGTACAGTCTTTGAATTTGGGTCAAGTCCTACACGTTATGTGACACAATTTAGGATTCCAAAGGACTAGTGCGTACAGTATTTAATGTCTTTCTTATTGAAACTACATGTAATGATTTCGAGAACTGAAAAATTTATCAGCTGAACCAAAACCTGACAGGAATAAAACAGAGTAATTTCTTATTTCTTTTTGTAGTAAGAAAATGTAGCTATAAATCTAAAATTGGTAAAACTCACACTGGTGACTGCACAATCTAAGGCATGTGGTTGCTCAAATGCTAGGATCAAACATTCAGATCCTGGTTGGATTATAGATATTTTTCCATATTCTTCTTCTTTGATCTGCAGTGGTAATGGCTTTTTATGATCTGACCACTACCCATGGAGATACAGCATTTATTTTAAGGATTTTAGAAACTTCTACAGTAGAGGAATCCTTAGCCCAAATTGGACTCCAGTGGCAGAAAAATAGATAAGACCTTTATCTCCTTAATATCTTAGTAGCAGAGGACTATACTTAATAAAAGAGTGTGCGCACGCGTGTTTATGAATGTGTATGTGCGCTTGTAGTGTAATAAAGTCACTATAACAAGTGATAACCCTGCTGGTAAATTATTCATCTTAATCTTGATTTTATTCAGTGCCTGTTTCTCTTCATTATAGATTTCTTCATTCTCCCTGTGCCACAGAGGAAAAGTTCTATGTCTTCACTTTGGCTTGACATGATGAAGATAAGCTTCATACTTGAACAATTAATAATTTTGGATTTCACCGTATACCACTTTTCTGACTGTTAATGGAAGCATTTTTAGTTACAATACTGTGTTCAATTTCCCCTTTTTTACAGACCAGTTTACTTTGTTACTCCTATGGTACCTCTGAATTTACTACATGGTCAAGTTTTCATGTAGTATGTTCTTATGTTTCATTGCTGCTTTTGCTCCCAACCATTTACCTAACACTTTCTGGTTCAGAGGCTGTGATCCTGACCAAGATTTGTATGACTTTCCCCAGTCTCTCCAGACAAAGCTGAGATAGTAATTTAAAACAGGCCCAAACCATGTCTTTCAAATATCATTATTCCTACAAGTATTATGTTTCTGGACATTATCCATTGTCTTGTCTATTTTTTAAAAACTGTCCTGTTTCTATTTCAAAACACGATGTTTCGGAGACTGGATTCTGTCCCTGTCCTCAGGTAAAACCTACTCAGTTGGGTCCAATAGATAGAGCTAGCCCCTATCTCCGGACCCAACTAAGTAGGTTTTACCTGAGGACGGGGACAGAATCCAGTCTCCAAAACGGTGTGTTTTGAAAAAGAAACAGGACGGATTTTTAGAAATAGACAAGATGATGATAACGTCCAGAAACATAATACTTGTAGCAAAACTTTCAGTTCTTCTCATTATTCCTAGTTATCCTATTAAGCTCAATAAATCTGTGAAGTTGGGAAAGCATAATTAAATAAAGTAGGAAATATTTTCTGCTTTTTGTGGCTTCCATGTGTACTTTTATAGAAGTGGTTTTTAACATTTCCTTCGCCAGGCAGCTCTGAAATATTTTACAAGAGTCATGTATCACTTCATCAGATGAAGAACAGTTGGCACAGTACACAACCTCTTTATTAACCATCACAACATAACAAATATCAAGGTCAATACACAGCTACGGGTCTGCTACATGTTTCGGCTATCAATAGCCATCATCAGGCAAATACGTGGTTAAACATATATACACCACTGAACTGCAGTTCTTTTTGTATATAAGACTGTATAGGAGGCTCGAGATGTAGATGTTAATATTAATTGTTTAGTCAGTGCCTCATCTTAGAAAGTATTGTCCGTACTGTAGGGAATGTAAACGATGACTAAGCAGACTGAAGAATTTTCAAACAAAAGTTGAGCTTTCAATAACTTGAATGTATTTTATGCTGAACACATTCTTCATATAATGAGTTGTTTTGGAGATCATAGCTTACAAATATCAAAGCAGACTTAAAAACATAAGCCTAAATGTAAGAAATTTGCTTATCCATGGTATCCTCTGCATTTAGCTAGTCTTGTACAAATGCTTCCTTGTAAGTATTCATTGTCAAACTCTGATACAAGTTCATGCTTAGAAACATTTTTCCTCTAAATTTAAATTTTAGTTGATTTTATGAAAGTAAAATGGTCTAACAATAGGTTACTCAATGTTCTCCAATTTCCTGTGATAAATAGGCATGTCAAAAGTGTTAAGAATTTAAGGGGAGGAGGACAGATGTCATTGTACTGTACCTAACTGGATACAAGTACCGGTGGTTAACCACTGTTCTTCCCATACTTCCAATTAACTGCTCATGTTCACTCAATATTCTCTTGACCATCTGTTAATTATTACAAAAATCAGATATGGAACCATCAAACTCTGATAAAGTAGTACTCATCGTTAACAGCCTATGATGATGTGAATGAATATTTAATCCATCCACATGAAACCTTCATTTCATGCATTTCCATTTTATATGAGTCAATAGACAATGTCTCCAGTTCCTTCAGTCTTTCCCTTTTGATTCCTTTTCAGCTCTATGCTCTCTTCTTGATGAGTTGCAGTATCTGGAGGAAACATCATATTCTGGATAATCTCGTGTCTCTCTCTCCTTTAGAATTGAATTCTAATGCCCTTCACACTATCTCTGTTCATTAGGGCCCGGATTTCTATGACATAGTATCATATTTTTTTCCTAGGGTTTATTCCTATTTTTAAATGTAATTATGCAAGTTTCCAGTCATTCTTATTGAAATTATGTCATTTTTATTGTGCATATAAATGCATATTTTAGAGTTTTATTGGTTTTACAGCATATTTTGGCATAATTTTGAAATACGGTCATATTTTTGTCATTTTAGAAACAATTCTTTGATATAATGTAAAATTTCGGCTCCATAATGTTTAGTATTACAAAATAAATTTCAGGCTGGACTGTTGCTTCAATGTGGAATAGAGTTCAAGTAC